GTTTGGCGTCAGTAGACGATTGATCCGGCTGCTGCTGAGCCGGCTTCTGCTCCTGTGCTGGGTCCTTGTGCTGCATAGTCTCCTGCGTTGGCGCGGCAGGGGTCGAGGAAGACACCGGGGCCGGAGGGGTTACCTCCGACGGGAGAGGATTCGCCATGTCGGGAGAGCTCGGTTCAGGCTTTGCGCAGACGTCGCGAGGGGCATTGGACGGTTCTGGGGATTCCGGGGGAGGAGGAGTGGGAGGGGGATGGCGGCGAGGGCGGTGGTGAGGAGGATGAGGGTCGAGAGTGGGCTGACTCATGCCGCGATCATGAAAAGGAAGCATGAATGCTCGGCTGAGTGCCGCAAACGCCCAGGGAACGGCCCCGAGCGGCCGCCAGAGCCACGGCAGCCCCCAGGAGTGCATGAACCCCAGCATTCTGTCTCCTGCAGCCGGTGGGGCCTAGCCGTGCAGCCGGAACGTCATTAAGATTGTTGATTAACTGTGTGTGCGAGGCAGCACGTCGCTCTCTTTCCATATCTTGCGCTGTGTTGCACGGGTTCTTATGTCGCATTCATCGAGAAGCAATGCCAGGTCCTACGGTGGTCGTGGTTTTATACGCTAAATGCTGGCCTGCGCCCCTGAATCACCGCTGGATGACTCATCGCCATGCGGGCTGGCAGCAGCTCTTAGGCACGAGACCAGGAAAATGGCCCCGTTCTGGATCAGTCAGACAGCTCAGCTGCTATTTATACTCGTTAGTCCCTCTGTCGTCGCAGACAAAAGGGGCAGAAGGATGCACAGTGCTGGAATAGGAACAAAGAAATGGGGAAGGCTATTGGAAAAGAATCCTCGGCTGAATGCGCATTTCATCGTGAATGGGTATTGACTCCAGGTACAAATAACACACACACACACAAAAAAATCCCAATGCCAAAACCAAAACCAAAATCCTCCAGACTCCTGCACTATCCCCACCATGTTACCCACTTGCCCTTCCCATTATTATGCATTACTTGGACGGGCCATCAGGCATTGTTGACCAGAACCTGCCCAAATGCCCGCCGCTGTCTCCGACCGTTCGAGTTCTTATTGATTCCAAACCTCTCCTGGTCGGCGGCCATCTTCCGTTTGAAGAGACTCAGCTCGTGAAGCAGATCCTCCATGTCGGCCTGCACCTCGTGGGCCTCCGTCTCATTCGGGTCCGCCTGGCCAGCGGTATCATCCTCCCAGATCATGCTGCCCTCTGCTTCCGGTGGAGGAGCTTCGTTCTCTTTCTCGCTCCTGGCCTCGTCTTCCTCTTCTGCCCGTAGAGATCCGAGGCTGCTTTCCCGTTTCTGCAGGGGGACGGCCGGAATGGGATTCTTGAGACTGTCGAGCGCCAGCCTAAGATGAAGGCGGAGCGCCTCGTTTTCTGTCTGCAGCTGTCGGATCTTGCACTCGCTCACCATCTTCGTCTCTTCCATTAGACGCTGTAGTTTCTCCACCTGCTGCTGATATTCCTCCAATTTCTCGTTCTGCAGCTCACTTTCTCGCTTGCTGGCCGCTTGTTGACTGACGCTGAGCTGCAAGATGCGGATTTGCTCTGCCATCGCCGCAATCTGCGCATCCCGTTCGGCGGCAGAAACATGGTCCTGATTGACCACGGCCCGTGTGCGGATGTGCTTGGCCTGGTCAGCGTAGCGAAGGGTAGAAAGCGTCTCCTCGTAATCAGAAGGGGAGACACAAGCAATCATGGCCGTCTTCGAATTCCCACCCAAACTGTCTTTCAGCAGCCACGTAAGAATCGAGTCTCGATAGGGAACCACCTCCTTGTTCCGTCTCCCACCAGGTCGCTGGTTCTTCGGATCAGCCAGCGCGGCGATGACCCTGCCCAGGGTAGTCAATGATTTATTGATGTTGGAACCCTCTCGTAACCTCTGACCCGTTGCCTCTGTCGCCTTGGCGCGTTCAGACCCCGCCAGGTCGACCAGCCGGATCCGCGCAGTTCGCTCCGTGGTCTCATCCGTGGCGAGATCGTGATGAATCTGTTTGAGCATGATGGTGAACACGGCGTGGGATCGCGACGAGGTATCATTCATCTTCGTGCTGGCCGTGGTGCGCGACATATCCCCCTTCCGCATCAGTTTCATGACCTCTGCAAAGCTTCTGACGGGAACGTCCGTCAGATCCTTGACATACGGGCCATCTGTAGGGGACTCGCGGATCTTGAGATAGTATGGAGGATCTGTCCGGGGTGCAAGCAGATCACGCACATGCTCATTGTACACCTCGAAATATGAGACACGGACATTGTAACTCGTGTTGGGAGATTGGTTGGCCTCGATTCGCTGAAACAGGTCTTCACAGGTCCTTGGGATCAAACCCGGCTTCTCTGGCGTTCCCATCATCGTATAGCTCTTCCCGGAGCCAGTCTGGCCGTAGGCAAAGATACAGGTATGGTACCCTTCAAAGTTGTGATCCAGGAATTCTTCCCCAAGACAGTTATACACATCCTCCTGGTCGGCATAATGCTCGTCGGCCTCATTGTGAGACCAGAAGGAGCGGTCAAAGGTGAAAGTCTTATCCTCGAGAACCTTACCGCGTGCCTGTGACCGAGGTTTCCCTGAACTAACTTCGTCCGTCCGGGGTGCTTTGAGCGTGGTCGTTTGAGTGTGCGGATCCATGGAAATCAAGCATTCCGCGCCTCGTTCGATTTCTGCGTGAGAGAGGGCCATCTGTCAATTCCAATCACTGCATGGTGGCCATTTGCGTTTGGGGAACCTACCTCTGGGCAGAAATCCTCTGACCCTCACGACAACCTTCACGTTACCCCCAGGAGTTGGACTCGAGACGCCATCTTGTCGGTCTACGGGTACCACCACACCTTCTCTGGACCTCAATGATGGACTCGACGCCGTGGACCTCATGGCTGCGACAGATGCTGTTGACGAGACGCTGGTGGGGGCCGTGCTTCCACTGATCGCAGATGCGCCGGACGACATGGACGAGCTGGAAGAATGCGACATGGTGCCGATATGATTGTATAGGCGCATGTCCAGCGCCATTTCCCTGCTGTTGTCTCTCAATAACTGCACTAATTGGGCGAAGAGGTCGCGTTGTCGGCGTAGATGGTTGTGGTACATGAGCCGAGGGATGATAGAGAGTAAGATAAAAAGAAAGAAAGTTGACTGGTTTGCTCCTGCCACTACACTACCTTTTATCTTTCTTCAGCGCGACTTCTTTCTTTCGTTCCTCCTTCCCCCCTCGTCTGCCAGTAACCCGATCTTTATTTAGGACTGCTGAACTCTGCCAACATCGACGGACTTGCAGTTCAACAAATCGAGCAACGCGACTGCCGAAGGAAAAGGAGAAAGAGAGAAAGAGACGTCAGCGTGTGCTAACGAACAAAAAAAGACGTCAACAGCTGCTGTCGTACAATGTTTACTTACTTGGCCGGTCACACCCCGCATCCACGGCGGCCCAGGACGCAAGGAACACGAAATGGGAAGCCTTAGGAAACAACAACACAAGACAAACAGGCCTCACAAAGAACAAAAGGAACGACAGAAGAACTGTGGAATGTTCCAAACCCACTTGAGGAATACAACACAATATCCACAAGGGACAACAGATAGTACATAATGTCTTGCAGGCCTGGAGATCTGCTGTACTCCATCGCAGCAGTGGGTTCGTTTAGGTTTTGCCGAAACGGGTTAGATGATGATCTGGCTGCTGGCGCTGCGTCACGGAAGCCGCGATGGGGGTTGCTATGGCGATCCGCAGGGGCTAGACCGGCAGCTGCAGCAAGCGTAAGGCACGCACTTATTTTTAGTTCATGGGCAGCTGCTGCAAAAAGTAGGTAGCATAGGTATTACTCCGTAGGAGGATGCTTAAATTCTCGTTCCTCAAAAAAGATTATAAGTGCTTTTTACACCAGGCGAGAGTACAATTACAGGAAAAGAACTAAACTCCCGTGTATAAACGAAAAATGAGAAGGCATCTTTCTGCCGCAGAAAAAAAAAAGACGGAGATGTATGATCTATCAGACATGCCGTTCGACTGAAATAATAATCATAATTAAAAAAAAGCTTCATGACTTCGTGATGGAATGACAAGATTATAGATCGTGGCAGATCGTGGCAGGGACAAACGCTAGGTCATTTCAGACCTTTCTCCAGCAACTCCTGTCCAATTTCCTTCAGGAGAGGCTCGCTCTTCAATGCCTCCACTTGACTCTTTCCCTTTACTGTGTCCGCAGCCCCCATGGCTCGACAAAGGTCAACGACCTCGCCGTCCAAGGGAGCCTCGTACAGGAAGAGACCGAGCGCAAAGAGACAGCCGTGCAGCGCCTCGATGCTTTCCTGTTCCGTCCCAATCGCCTCAAGCAACGACGCCACCAGCTCGACTTGGTCTCCTTCCGACAATTTGTCCGGACGGCCCTCGAAGCGCTCGTTGTGGTTGTATGCAGCCAGATTGTACGCAAAAGAGGCAGCGACAACACGGAGATTAGTATGGCTGTCCAAAAGGCAGCCCGTGAGCAAGCGGATGCAGGTCTCGCGCAGCGACTGGTTGGACGCAATCTGCTCAGGATAAAGCGGCGTGGTGAAGAGATTGCAGGCCAACTGTAGCATGACAATGCGGAGGTTGTAAGGACAGGCGGCAAGATCGGTGGAGTGAGAGAAGAGCGTCAGCAGCGTCTTGTGGCCGGGTTCCTCCGCAAAGAACCCGCTCACGCGAGCATCCAGGAAGGCGACGCGGACCAGATCGACGACAGCGAAACGAATGTCAATCGGCATTTCTGGGTATGTCGACTGCAGATACGCGGCTAGAGAAGATAGATTAGGTATTGGAGCTTCTGCCGGGGCGGCTAGATTTCTCTTTTTGACAAAATCCACGACAGACTGGATAGTTGGATCGGCACCATAATCCCCAATCTTGTGCAGAAGCTTGTCCAGCGGAGGAGTTTTCGTATACGTGACGTAGCTGGAGATTTTCCTCTGTAAGCTCGGGAGTCGAAGCCCGCTGTGAGGGTGCGGCGGGAAGGCCATCTGGATCAGCATGCGGACATTGCCCTTGAGTTGGGCTGGGTTGGCGCCGCTCCATTCGTTTTCTTTCTTGCCCTTCAAAAAGGTCATAAAGGTTGGAGTAGCCCGGACGCCATATTTCGCGCCCACGTCGAACGCAAAATTGAGATCAACCTTGATGAGGACCGCCTTGTCCCCAGCCTCCTCAGCCAACTCGTCATACGTTGGGTATACCATCTTGCATGGTGCGCAGGTCGACGAGGTGAAAAAGATGACTGCGCAGCTATTCGATGCAAGGGCAAGCTGCTCCTCCAATTCCCGCAGGTTGCTGACGTTTCTCACGTAACCTTTGACTGGCTTCGACACTGTGCCCTGAGCTTGCGCTGTTTGGGCTGCCGGAGGAGCTGCTCGTCCAGCAGGTGCTGGAACATCTTGGCCGACAGCACCACCCTGTGTAATTCCACAGAGGGCCTGGTCAATCTGCGGTTTCATCATCTGTCCAAACGGCGTGCTAAGGAAGGTCTCTGGCAAAGACCGGATATGCTCGGGGATGCCCTTTCCGACCAGGAACATGGCCAGGTCCTGCGTGAAGTTGTTGCAATTGTGCAAGAAGAGATCATATGACTGTCAAAAATAACAGCGAGTCAGTATAGATCCTGACCAAGAAGCCTGTTTTTTGTCGGCGCCGCACCTCTGGTGTGTAGACCTGAGCCAGAGACTCAAGATACTCCTGTATCACCTCGATTGGAAGCTCCGTTCGGCCCATGTGCAGCTTCTCCATCGGCTCGCCATGGTGCGTGGTCCCGGGCACTGTCCTCTGAATACCCTGCCCATAGAAATACTCGACTCCTCCAAAGACAAGGGACGTATGGTAGATGGCGTCGATCTGGACTCCGGTCAAGGGCAGAGACCACTACCATGGCCAGTTAGGAAACCGTACGAGCTTCGTAGAACCTTTGCGACAGGGCAGCCACGTACCACTCGCGCCAGACCCTGTAGTCCTGGTTAGCAGCCACTCTGCACGATGAATTAATTGATCGCAACACCACCTTCGAGAGGTCATAGATATACAGCTCGACATCCATCTTTTTTTTATTTCCTATGCGCGGGATAATTCGACAGGCATCCCTCGATCGCCGACGAGCAAGGCATCATGCACGTATTTAAGTTGCGCATCATTGGCGCCAGGCACCGGCATCACGTCAGCGGAGCTTCGCGGCGGACGCTAAACCATTATTAATTGGGCCAGTCGCGTGTCTTCCCCGGTTCGTTAGTATTATTAGCATGTTCTGCCGCCTCCCGCGTTAATGTTATCTGGAACCACCAAAGGCGCCCAGAGATGCGATAGCATATACCACCGCAACCACTCCGCGGCAAGCTTCCATCGACATGGTGAGTCGCTAACGATCCCCCTCCCCTGTTACATAGTCAATTTAATTGCCGTGGCTAATCTGTCCTCTTTGTCGTTGTTGGGAATAATAATAGCCCCCCAAACGGCGTGGCGGCGGAACTCCGAAAGAGAGAAAGAGCCGACAATCCAAGCTCGCGAAAGAGCACAACATCACCGCGGAGGAAGAGAACGAGATCAAGGAGGCCTTCCATCTCTTCTCCACCGTGAATCCAGAGTTTGAAGACGAGAAAGAAGGCGTCATCCGCACCGAGGATGTCCGTCGAGCATTAGTGTACGTTGTTGCGGCAGATAACTATACCGATGATTTAATTGATCCTTTGTTGCTAATCTATCTGTCTATGATGACCCTGCAGAGCCCTGGGTCTTCCCCCGGAATCCCCCTCCGAACTCTCGTCCATCATCTCCGCCGTCGACCCTACCTCGACCGGCTTCGTCCCCTACGAACCGTTCCTCTCCGTCGCCGCCGCAAAGCTGCACATGCGCAGCGAAGACTCCCTCGCCGAAGAAGTCGAGGCCGCCTACCGGCTCTTCACCCGCGGCACCGATGGACCCATCACTCTGAACCACCTGCGTCGCATAGCCCGCGAGCTGAAGGAGGACAGTGTCGGCGATGACTTTCTCAAGGACATGATTCAAGAGGCGAACGGTGGTGCAGGTGTCAGTGCCGGAGTGACGCTGGAGCAATTCCGTGATGTGATGGCCAGAGCTGGCGTTTTCTAGTTTGATACCTCTTTTGTTTTGCTTTGTTTGCTACGGGAGTTCGGCATTGCATTCTTACTCCGTATACGAGAGTTTATTGAGTTTTGGCGTTTTCTTTTAACGTGCGGAAAAAGGACGGGAGTGCGGTGTTCATGCATCCTTTCTAACTCGGTATTCTAGCTGTATAAATTGATTTTAACATTCACGCTATTGCAAATGCTGCAATATTCCAGTAAATTCGATCTGAGTCCAGCAGAAAGCAAAAAACAAAGCAAGTCGATATCACCTTCCAAAACTCCTGTAGCACCGAGCCAGGTTGTAAAACTGTGCAATAGAATAGGTACAGAACATCTATCTTCTTGGCTCACCAGAAGAATATGTATGCGTGTGTATGCGATCAATAATCTAGGTGACAAGGCAGAGTCATATAGTACAGAACATTCAAGAAGAGAAATTGCAAGTGTAGGATGCGGATGGGAAAAATTGCAGAGAAAGAAAGAACATATCAACGCCTTCAATCAATATGAGCTGTTCGTTCCGCCCTGTGCCATGCTCCTGGGTATCAATAAATGTGGTAGTTAAGGAGCTGTTGTACAAAACAAATCCGATCATTGCGCCTTGATGATGGATGGTGATAGTAATGCCTCATATATCCGATGGTTTCTCTTCATTTTGTCCCTTATCAGCCACCGTTGATACGTTTGGCTCGGGTGAGACTGCTGGAAGAGTGGTATCGGACGGTTTTGCATCTCCCGGAGACGATGAACCATGAGACACGCTCGATGGCTGACTCCCTGCTGACGTATCCGAGTCAAAAACCTCGGATTCGGTTGAAGACGTCTCATCAGGTGCCGGAATACCCTCGGTTTCGCTTAAGTGTTCACCAGTGGAGGGCTGATACGAAGGTGCCTCCAGAGTAGTAGTCGACGCAACAGACTCTTCTTTTACGAGAGCCTTCTCATCAATCTCCGACTGGGTATCCCCAAGCTTTTCGTCTGTAGAACGTGGCTCTTCAATGTACTCGTAGAAAAGCATAAAAACCCCGCCCTGTGAGAACACGCTGCGTTCGCTGACCATCTGCACATCATCATCACTGAGACGGAACCAACGTTCGGGCCTTTCCTTCTCTCCATCCGCGTGCAGGACCGCCTCAGGGACAGTTGCGGGGAAATGTTCCACAGGATACTTCCTGTAGCAAATATAGTGCCCATTTTCGTGTCGGCCATAGTGCGTTACAACAGCACGCAGCTCATATCGCCGGTCAAGAACTTCCCTCGTAACCCCTGGTCGAGGAAGCATGGATTGCTGGGGATTGGTATCCCATCTCTCTGGAGCTTCCTCGCCTTTCTCATCAACAGCTTTGGTCCCCAAACACCACTCGTCCAGGTCAATAGTGTTTGGAAACCTGACGTCTGCGTAGTTCTTTCTCAGCATGCCAGTATTTTCGTCAAACACACTGCGATTAACATGAATAACGAGGGACTTCGGCGCCCGGGCAATTACAGCTTGCCTCGATTTCGTCGTCGACACCCTATTCTTTGATGGTATATGACATTTCTTTGACAGCGTCTTCTCCGAAAAGTCCTCATCGTCCAGGGCTTCTTGGACAGCTTGGAGACGTGTTTGAGCAGAGCTCTTCAGTGCGTCTGACAGTTTGGGGGTTTGGGATCCATTTGCAAGCTCCTCATCTTCTTCAATTTGCTTCAGGAGATGACTGAGCTGCTCCTTCGTGCGCAACAAGGTGCATTTCGCACATTCGACGCCCTCGATAGGCTCGAGCGTCATGTAGTCATCCAGACACTCTCGTATATCATATTCCCAGTTCCTTCCAAGGGAGACTGTTAGACAGTTGAACGGGATCAGCGACAACCCTTCAGTCCAACCACACCGCATGCAGCCCACTCGTTGCGCGAGCAGACCTTCTAGAGGATTTCGAAGCGACGCATATTGTTCTGCCCCATGGACACGGAGCCTCCTGTCTTCTGACGCAGAAGAAACTCCCAGAACATGTTCTTGTGGTCCCGCCACCTTCAGTCCAAGATTACTTGTCAGTCTCTTCGATGCTTGCGAAACCTCCCTGTCGACTTGATCCACAATTTTCGAGAAATATTCCTGGGCATCTTGCTGTTGCCAACTGCTCATAGACTTTAATTCCGGCGGTATCCACAGCCTCTGCCCATGGTTCGCGGGGTCGTTCAGTCGCGCGATGATATCCCTCAGAGCGCGATGCGTCGAGAGGGTACCTCGGTCGGCCAAGTCGTGGATATTCCGTTCAAGGAAAGCTTCGAACGACCGGAGCGATGCCAACCCTTGTATGATACTATTCTGATAACAGGAGTTGTCCCAGTTACCTAGCCCAGGAGGGATGGGCTCCTTTCCGCCCAACAGGGCGTTCCCGAATCCCGACAAGCTCCGCGCGCGGGGAAATATGGAATATAACGAACTCTTGTCGAGGCCCAATATTCGTTGCATCGCTTCGCTCTTCGCTTGGAAGCTAGGAAACGTCATCGAGGCGGCTTGGTCCTGGGATTCGGTCGTCGTGTCCAGCGCAAGGACGATGCGAGACGGTGTTAGATAGACAAGGATATTCCAGAGAGCTCGTGGAATCGTGCCAGGCAGGGCGTCAAAATATGAGAGAATATAGTACAGGAACACGGCAGAAGCACATAGACAGGCTAGTATCGAACCGCTCTGCACGGGCAGAGAAGACGTGTCATAGTGGTTGCTGCTGGCGCCGCTGAATGGATTCAAGGCGTGTGCATGGTAACTCTCCGAACGAACAGTCATGGCGAGAGGGGAGGAGCTGGTCGCCGAACAGGGGCGATGGTTCGCAGATCATGAGCGTACAACGGTCCTGAATCCATACACGATTTCTGATGCTTATCGATCCCAAACAGCCTTCATGTTCCTGATGGATCGATTCATGGTATCTGGACATGTCCACTGAATCCGGTTTAGTTCTAGCGGCAAGTCTCGGCAGTGCGCTCCTGGTCTCTGCGCGCACCCGGAAAACTTTTATCGATAGGACGAAAATTTCCCCACAAAGCCTGAATATCGAGAATTCTCAATCACGGGAAACAGCTGTCTTGAAGAGGCAGCCATGGCGAAAACGCCCAAATTGAAGAATAAACAACGTAAGTCTACTCCTTTCTTTGTTTGTTATCAAGACTTCTCTGTCTGACTCTGTTCTTCCAGCCAAGTCAATACACTCTCGAGCTGCGCGGCGCGCAGCGTCACCCTCAGATGAGGTCGACAAATCGCTGACGTCCCTGCCACGAGCAGAGACGGCCATTCCGAAACCCCCCTCGGTTCTAGCGGCTCAGGCAAATGCGGGAGTGTCAAAGAAGAAGGCAAAGTCCAAACCTAAGACGCGGGCCCAACGTCGACGACAACAGAAAGGCATCGAGAGGGCCGAGATCGTTATGGATCAGCTGGAGAAGAAAGTAGCTAAGAGCGTAGGGAAAGCAAAGAAAATTAAAGAGCGAAAAGTAAGCAAGGCCTTATTTTGCGGAACATTAGGCTGCTGTTTGCTTCTCGAGCCTGCGCACTAACATCTTTATAAAGATAAACTGGGATGAGATCAACCGCAAACAGCTCAAGGCTACGAAGCATCATCAAGAAGCCATGGAAGGTGCCGATGCCGACGATGCTATGGTAGATGATGATCAGCCTATGACGTCCACGGCACCCGAGAAATCTCTGCCAGTGTCGACAAACGCCCCGGCCGTGAGCTACAACCAGGTGGCAGACAACCAGGTAGCGGACGAACCCAAAGAAGTGGATGAGGAGGATGAGATTACTTGAGGACCAGGCGCAAGCATTGTATCTGCGAGGTTTATTTCCCTCCTATCTATTTCTTCGGCCTAAGCTGGTTAATCATGCGGTCAATTTCGCTGACCGCCGGTCCGGAAGCTTTTGTTCTGAGAAGCTCAAGGGTGTTGACATCCTTGGCTTTCATGGCTTCTTCTCCAGCCTTCACGATCATACCACATTTCATCCACATCTCAATTCTTTCTGCAACGGGCAGGTTCGTGCATTTGGGAACAAATGTCGAGGCAAGTTTGGTGTTACCGGCGCCCAGTATTTCATTATAGAAAGGCTATTATCTCCGTCAGCGCGTTCTTTAGGATGGTAAAACAGGGATCCATGGATGTTGCATGCTGCTCACCTCCCAGCCAATCGGAGATTTCTTGGCCTTTGCAATCTCTTCCAACTCTCCCCAGTCGCGTTTGGCAACTAAAGCTCGCAATCTTACCCACCAATATGTGGCTTCTGGCATCTTGAAGTCGTTATGAATCTTTTGTGCTCTCTTTCCATACCCTGACTTTATCAGCCTGTAAACTGTTTCATTCAAGCTCAGCCCGACGAAATCCGGGCCGTCTGATAGTTCCTTATCCAGAGCCTCCTGAACCTTGAGCAGCTGCGCGGCTTCGGAGAGTGACTTCTGCTGGAATAGGATGGCAGGATCTTTGGACTCCGTGAGGACTCGGGATGCAAGATTCAGTTTCTCTATTTTCCCCTGAGCCTCATCTTGCTTGAGTGCTTCTGAGATCAGAATATTGGAACCATCGATGGGTCTATCGTCTTGATAATACAAATCTTTCAGAAGTTCGGTGTCCCCTTCCCTTGCCGACGTTTCCACAAGAGCGGCAGCTGTGGGCCTGTCGTTAATCGTCCTGAAAAAGCTCGAAAGAGGAAGCTTTTTCTTGAGGTGCAGCAGAACATAGTACAAAAGATCAGTATCCCCACTCTCAACGGCCTTATCGAGTGCGATTTCGTCTTCTTCCATATTAAGAAGCAGAGGGACTTGTTTGCCGGCTCGGGGCTCATAATTCAGAAGCTGTATAGCGAGGTGAGATCGTCCCTCATCGTAAGCAGCTTGTGCAATCGCTTCAAAGGAAATGCCCGATTTCCCTTCCAGCCTTTGCACGATCAGTTTGCATACTGCATCGTCGTCGGCTGTGGAGGCCTTGACTTTCTGAATAGCCCAATGGACGTAGATTTTATCGACCGGAATATGAAGGTATTCAGAAATTCGTATTGCCAGGAGATATTCATGGCGATTCACGAGACGATCAATCAGCTTCTCAGGAGTCAAGCGGAGATACTGATCAAAAGAAATTGGCATCCCTATTTCAAAATCGCGGACTGCCTTCAGCACCCTCAATCTTTCCGTCATTTCCACAAACTCGTCGCTATTGTACAGCTCCAAGACGGACTTTCCGAAGGAGGCCGCTTTCAGAAGCCGCTTCTGCCAATACGTGTCAAACTCGTGACCGGCAGCTTTGACACAAATATCAACAGCCTCCGGAAGATTGGGCCGGATTCGTTGAATGTTCTCATCAGCTTTGGGAGACTTCTTCTCTAATTGATCGACCGAGTCCAGAAGGACTGATGCTGGAGATGTAGACCCAAGTCGGAAAACCTCCTCCGTCACGGCTGTTCGACATTAGTCTCCATGCACACCAATTTCGCCGCAACAGTGATGATACTAACCGGAGACCTTGTGTAGAAACTCGCAGGATTCATTGGTCAACAATCTGACGCCATCAAATTCAGGGATCACATGTACACGACCATCATAGTAGTACCTTACTTTATCAGAAATGATTCAATATATTCCGGGATTGACATGCTCACCTGGAAGCCGCTCCACTAGGGCCCACCATATGAATCTCGTCCTCCCATGCAAGAATGACCGCATCATCTCCGCACCACTCCACCGTCAGCGGAGGGGTCTTGGCTTTGGAATCGTATTCGCTGTATTTGTTCTGGAAATCACTGCTCACAACCCAGACTTTACCATCGCTCGTATAGAGAGCCACGAAGCGGCCAGTCGGTGACACACTGACATGCTTAAACGGCCCATTCTGTAACATCCGATCCTCCGCTTCGGTAGCATCGACTACATAGATCGTCTTATCCACTGCGAGAAGAACTTCCACAGAACGTGAAAGCGTATAAGACGGGGGGATCAGTGACCATGAAGATACCTCTCCCTCTGGAGAGGGTGCCAATAACTTTGGCCTAGGCTCAGCATAATTAGAAACGGCGATCAGTTGATTGTTTGACAGCAGTGCCACGAAGCCAGATGACCAGAAGCGGCAGCTCCTAACTCCATACTCTTCTGCCCCCTAGAGAAAGCAGTTAGTCAGGAAACATCTAGTCTCCAGGGAGTTCAATGTACATTTCCCAATGAGAACGGTGCGAAGTCTCCATGTAAGCCGAAATAGCGCCGAACCGTACCATCTTCGGTCACGACAAGAAGCTCTTCATTATCGGACCATCCGAGCCCTCGGATGGAGCCAAATTCCCACTGCTATCCGTCAGCCACATGTTATTTGGAGGAGCAGAACAGGCAACACAGACATTTATTCGACTGATGAGCTTTCCCGAATATGAGTAGATATCAATGCTAGACTTGAATGTCTGTGCATCTCGATACCTGTAAAGCTTGCTCTCGTCGCGATACAGAGCTAAAATGCCCAACAATCAGCCATGGTTCCGGGCACGGCGTCCCAGTCCTGATTTGGATGGAGAGAAAGATACCAACTGCTCCTCCATAAGGTGCTCCAGCGACAATGTAGTTCTCTAGTTCTAGGTCTTCATCAAACACGGCGTCATATACGCGCACCTTCCTATAGAACCTGTCGCCTACCCTCTCCCAATCGGCCAGGGGGTTAGGTGGAGCCATCACCAACACAGTTGTTCTTGGAGCATAGAGTGTGACAGCCACATCAATCCTGTTCTTCTCTTAAATCTGGCCTTTGCCCTGAGACATGAATTTGCGGCGGAGAGATGGACATAACAGAGCATCAACAGCGAAGCTCGCCCACTTTGGGGGGAACGTTCCAGTTAGAATCTAACCGTGTTCGGTTAGCTTTGCCGTCACATGTAAGATCTCCGCTATCGTCTTGGTGTTCCGGGAGCCAGCCGATGTGCCAGGCAGGTTGGGGCCGCTTGCCAGTCTCTCGATCTGGAGCCCTGGATCATTCTGCAAAGGAATCCTCTTTCTATTTTTGTGAAATAAATGTGCAAGCTAGGAACCTGAAGCGGCACGCGTGGAAACACAATTAAATAGGAGACGTCGCTGGAAGGGGAAATATCGGTATTCACCGACATACCTTGCCCACCCTTTTCGAGTCTGTGCGCCTCAAAATCTACAACGGTTGGAACATTCAAGAGGATATATCTATCCATACAAGAAAATATCACATTCTAACGTTGCATATCTCTTTTTATTATCATTTACCTTACTTGACTACTCGGGTCTAAAAGGTGGGTATGGTATTTCGGTTACGGTGATACTTTCCTCCGGGAAATTGTGGGGATTCCCACAAACCCAACGCCACCGCTGAAAATAAAACTCCAGCAACCACCGCCGAAGTCAGCGTCAGCAGCTACAACACCAGCGAAAGAACCCGATCAGGTGTCTCTCGTTCTTGTCTCGGAGGATCAGCGTCATACGCCAAAATGGGTAAGGTTCACGGAAGTCTTGCTCGCGCAGGTAGGTCTCCAGCCCTCTGTACCTAGATTGCAGTGATAGCTAACAGACTGCGACAGGCAAGGTCAAGAGCGCGACGCCCAAGGTTGCTAACATCTACCCAATTTGGCTTCTCTAGAGATGCTAATCGTGACCAGGTCGAGAAAACCGAGAAGCCGAAGACGCCCAAGGGTCGCGCCCGCAAGCGACTCCTTTATACCCGTCGATTTGTCAACGTCACTCTGACGGGTGGCAAGCGCAAGGTATGCAAATATGACGGCGATGGCACTGTACACGAACCATGACAGAAGACTCACATTACACAGATGAACCCAAGCCCGGCTTCTTAAGGACCGCAACCTTCGGAGCTCGACGATATGGCAACTAGAATCTCCCTCGACTGCTGTCGTGATAAGGGGCTGAGAATGTGATGCATACTTGCCCTGGGACCATATTGGCATTCGGACTGTCTCTTTTTTGCTTCTACTCTTCTGGAAGGGATTCAAAGGGATGGTTTTTAGGATAGTTTATGCACAGTCATCGAACTATAAGTAGGGGCGAATACAATTAAAGTATTCAACCTCTCAAGTTTCACTGCGACACGATGCCATCCCAGCAGGTACATATATTTATATAGAAACAGAAAAGTCTACTTTCAAGATTCCAAATTCATTCACTAAGCGGATCGACGGCTTGTTGCCACAACACATGAAAATGGTGGACTTATCTCGCATAGTCCAATGATTTCTTCATACCTGAATTACGTATATGCTAAGTCGCTCTCCCCTACCAAAAGACGGGACCATCAGCATGTCAAGGAAGCATCAAGTAGGTTATTGAGACCTAGGCGAATTCGCCCAGATTTGAGGGGAAGACTGTAGATCGGCCTTCATTTACCGAGACAAGGATGTTCCTGCAGCAACGTTCGGATAACGTGACGAGATACTGAGAGCCGCAATAGTAGGGAACTGTTCGCCACAGAAGAATGCAGCGGCCCAGTGCGTCATGTGACATCCGTAGCCGTGCCCTAAGCCCTGGTGCGGGTATCAGGTACGCAGCGGGTGTAACAACCTTACGACCGGCCTTACAACCTTTCTCTTCCATAATAACTATAAACGCCTATAGGTTATTAGCCATATCCTTAATCTACTTAACAGTCATTTTATCTGGCTTATACCTTATTTTGTTTTTATAAATCGGATACTATTACTTCTAGAAAGTCTTTAAGCTTTTCTAAGGTAGGTAATCCCTTGACTCCTCTGTTCTTTCCCTAATATTAGTTGTAATGCTAGCCAAAAAAAGGCTTTAAAGGTACTAGACAGTTTCCTTAGTCACAGAGAGCATATACAAAAAATTTAATTATCGCTTTAAAATTAATAGTTTCTGGCCAAAAATAAAGTATTACTCCGTATAATCCAAGCGTTTCTTCCCTTTCTAACGCGATGATGGATCCTCAATGCTAACCCAGATACGATGTCCCCCACTAAACTCGATATGCCTTAGCGCCATCTCACCACCCGTCACCTGCGCCCTGCTTGGTCGAAAGCATTCAATCATGATAAGCTTGGCAGTTCATGCATTAAACACCGTCAGGACCCTTAAGACTGTCTTTTCTTCTCTTTCGCCTTTTCCGTCTCTTAGACTTGTCCCATATGGACACTCTGGAGATTGAACATCTCATTTCCGAATTGACGGACCTTGACCTTGCTGTTTTACTCTCCCTCGTTGCCCAGGAGCACTGTCTTATCGAGACAACGGAAGACTGTATCGACGATGTCTCCAAGGAGCTGGCATTGGTACTGTCTGCCGCATTTCAGTTGATTCCGCTGCCTTGGCTGACAACGTCATATGTAGATCTGCCAGAACACGTTTGGTCTATCATATGCTCTTCTTGACTGCTCCCAAGAGACTTCTCTTGACGACTTCAGTAACGGGATCGTAGCTCCAGATCCTGTGGCGACAGGGCGTCATTACTCTCCGCATCTGACACGGCATGCTGCTGAATCGGTAAGATGTCTCCCATTGAATCATTTCTTGAATGACCGTTACATGCTGTGGGGAGCCTTTTACTTGAGAATAGTATGACGAGATATTCTTATGTTGAACTCCTTGAGTTAGCTGGCATATCCTCAGTTTATTTCCTTTTGTTAGCATAAAGATAACTACATGGATCTGGAGTTGCCATCGTTTTTCTCTGTCTTACTGACTCACTCCATCAGAGATACTCTTCATTTAAGAACGCTCATGGTATCCAAGAGCATTCCATGTCTCCCGTCAAAGACAATTATCTAGACGAGAGGAAAGTCGTGAATGTTGTAATTGCGAAGAACTTTAACCGCACTCATGACGATATTCAGATCCAGGCCCTTGAGGTTTGTTAATTGGTTCCTCCAATTGTTAGATACTGCTAACCTGCAACGAGTAGTTGCTACGGTCGAGGAGGATATTTACCAAAACAGCAGTTCACAGCACGCCGAAAGTCTTTCTTTTTATACCTGTGATTGCCTCCGATGGAAGCGGCACCCAGAATCTTCCTCTGAACAGACACTTAGTAAGTTATTTTCTTCTGAGGGTTGCCGCACTTTAGCATGCTTACTTCTTGTAGAACGACCATCTTTTTCTCTCACACGTTCATGAACCAGAGCATGGGTATCCTAACCTCGAAGATGATGATGCCTGGGTATCCGATGATCAAGCATCTATCTCCTCCGTCGTTCGGAAGCCCAGCGTAGACGTCCACAGACGAAGTTCCAGGCAATATAAAATTGATGAGGAGGTGGCAAAGGAGCCCTTCGATGCACATCTACATAACTGCATGGCTGACGGATTTGGTAGATCATATCAAAGCTGCGCTTGGCTAGGGACAACGTTTTTGTCTCCGCAGAAGTTGTTCGCTATCTGCAGAATATCGTCGTTTTTCTAAGGCTAAATCGTGCTGTTTCCGGGGGCATATCTGCCAAAGCAACAACCCATTTCCTTCTTCTCGCCAAGTCAGTATATGGTACTTGTCACTCTGTCGAAGACGCTCACTCACAGGTCGACTAGATCTCTCGCCCCCTTGCACGGTGTAAACTATCTCACACCGTCAATAGTCGCACTTGCAGCAAAGAAAGTATATCGTCATCGAATCATGATCGCTTCAGCGGATGAAGACCGCAGCCTACAGTATGGCAGTCACCGAGATGCGGTGTCCCGGCTCCTAAAGGATATCAACACCGACGCAATCATTGATAATGTTATAGGGGAAGTTGAGGCCCCATTGTGAACAACCATCTGCATGACTTTAATGTGCATACACGGATGAATATGGCCATGCCTATCGGATCGGTTTCGAGTGCCCTGGACTATGGTCTCTTCACGGTCTTTTAACTTGCAGCAACTGGTGAATTTCCGTTTATACCGACCGAGCTTCAGTATGCTGCAATGAAACCACGAAGAAACTGGCCATTGAGCATGAATATACTGCCAGAAACCGATTCCGAACCTTTCTTTCCCTACATTTTCTCTCTATATACGGATCAACATCCCGTATTTTGGCATGGTGGCACAAGGCTCGCATCCTCCAATCCTCGCCCCTGGATGATCTCCAGCTGCTCTGCAGCAAATTGCATCTCTCCTTACAATAACATCAACAATCCTCATGTGTCAGAAGGCTCTAATCGCCAGTCCGGGTGCCGAAATAATCTTTGATACTGAATACAAAACAACATAGTGATGTGCTGGGAAGATCACGGTATGGTCAATACACTGCTCTCAGTCTGTAGAAAGGTATACAGTTACTGACATCTGCCTACTGGTGTCCATAGAATCCCTTGTTCCTCACCAAGAAGGGCGTGAGTCTGTGATGGAAGCAGTGCATATGCTTCTGTCATCAAAGACCGGCGGAGACCTTGCTCAGGAAATAATCGGGACTTTCTCCCAGTGGTATTGGTATTGGTCATGGTGAAAAGCAACATCATGGAGTGTCGGCAAATGGCCGGTGTGCCTAGGTGAGCTCTATGGTAGAGCTAATCAGGAAGAGCTTCAGGTCATGCTGAAGCCTTTTTACTTGTGGCTTGAGCAAACAGAGAATATGCAGCTTGTTAGCATAGGTCTCCAGGCCATAAGGGTATTCTTTGAGGTTGATACGACCAAGAAAGAGAAGAAAGGCCACTTTACAGTTAGAGTGCTCCCCTAACTTATTGACCCCTTATCACAGATAATGAGAGTAAGCACTAGGAAGTCCTATACTTTGCTCTGCAGCTCATTATAAAAGTATGCAAGACTATGCCCTCTATTGTGTTCAGCAAGGATTGCACCAGCATCTAGCTAAGCATTTGATAATTACTCTTCTATCCCCATGCTTGGATCAAGACTTGTACAGCAAATCTTATTAGGAGCTGGTTCTCCGATTTGGCCAAGACCAATGTATCCTCTGGTTATGGGCAAACCTGGGTCTGGGGTTGTGGCACGCTGGATGTAGATCCTAGAACAACGTATCAGAGATATGTTGAAATCTTCTGGCACAGAATTTCCACGTTCTTCATACGGTCATTGAATGTCAGATGAATTTAAGGATTTTAATGACACCAGTAGGTGGTTCAAACGCCCGAGATTGAAGAAACTGAACACTAAGCATTATAGATCCTACAATATTATGCTGGGTAGGGAGGCTTACGCGAACAATAGTAGCCATCAGTGACCATGGAAAGTTAGGGGGTTATCACAGCAAAGCTTGAATTCGTCGACAGCTCCCACGCGAAGTACTATCGATTGCCTTGCATCGTCTAAATGAGGCCGTCAATACGGACTTGAGAGCGATTTGAATATGCCTTCCTCAAGGGAAACAGGACTGCACTTGAGATATATAGTATTTTTTTACTATGTATATTTCTTTTTTTTCTTTCTGTGTTGTTCTTTGTTGTCTCAGCAGTGTGTCTCGCTGAGCCGCATTGCGCTTATTCTGTTTCTTACTGCCAGTCCCTTACGGAAAATCAGCGCACGGCCAGGAATTGATAATGAAAGTTGACTTACCTTTTCCCAGAACCTGAAAACTTTGTAAAGCTGAAGCTGTTTACGGCTACAAGACGGTTAATCTGGTGTAGTATTTGCTCTGCCAAAGATCTTCAAAGAGCAGGAGAGTGAGTAGTCGACTTCTTCTGAAATGCTTCACTTTCCTGCAGGAAGCTTGTATCGTAGACGTGCTTGCATTGTCTCGCCTGTCTGAACCATTGTTCCATTCTGGTCCTGAGCTTGACAGGCAACACATTGGGTGCACTTCAAGTGAAGACAAACAATGTCTGAACAATTGTTCAAAGGTCAACAGCTGAGAATACAATTGTGCATGTGGTGAATCAAATGCCCGTACCTTCCCAGTTCATCTCACACAAACAAAGGCACATTGGAGGGGGCCCGCCTCAGGTCCTTATTGAGGTGAGTGTCCCTCCTTTTGAGATGAATCGGCCTTCCATCTTCCAGTGAATGCTACAGTAGAGAGACTACATAAAGACGACCTGGTGAGAACGACACTTTCGCCTCATCTTACAAACACCTATCTTACAACTCTCCCACAGCCTGCTCAGAACGATATTGTATCAGCTTTCAAACATTGCCTCTCTTACAACCTGCTCAGGTAGCAGACCATGTCAGCTACGACAAATGTCAAGTTGAACGAGGATGGTGATCCCATCTTCCGGGTAAGTCTTTGTTTATTTTGGTGTCTTTCGTCTGATCTGATGGAGTGCCACCTACATACGACTGCTCTGGATGTGATGCTATGAGCAGTTTCTGGTCCTCCATCGAGCTGCCTGCTGTGTCTCCCTTTTTCCTTTTGCATGGAATATCCTATTATATTCAGTTATGTCTGTTGTCTACTCTGCTGATGCTCTACTTAATTAGCTCTGTGAGGTGAACCTGCCGAAAACGTATCCTCGACATGTGACTGGCAATCTCAGAGCGAAATACAACTATCTCTTCACCCAATACTGGCAGCTCAGAGAACTGTGGGATGTCCAGCTTAAGAACCACAGAGACCATTGGAACATCCAAGCCGCATATGACTTTTGGTGCGAGAACGGCACAAAGACGATCCATGGAAGACAATTTGGATGGAGTGAAGATTGGCTGATCGAGGCCATGGAGAGCGTCAAGGCCGAACTGATCGATCTGGAAGACGCTGGAAACCGCATAAAGACGATCAAAGCAGTCAACAGGCTGACCATTGACCGGCTCGCTTTGTCGCGGGTGACTCGCACTCAGGATGAGGACTTGAAGAAAATACGAAGCAAAGACTCCTCCAGCACGGGCACTGAGCCCCAGTCTCCAACTCACAAACCTCGTCGCCGTCCGTCGCTCCATCACGATGCAGAACCGAAGAAAACGAACCATCGCTACAACACCCGTCTTGTGGGCTCATCACGCGAGGATCCTATCGTCATCGAACAGGACTCTGACGACGAAGGCGGTCCTCCCCATCGTGGACGCCAGAGAAGAACGCGTTCCCCGGCGAAGGATCCATCTCAGCCTCGACGTCCTCCCATACAACCATCCGCTAACACACGAGTCCGTCGTCAGAACCATACACCTGAGCGCAGCCACGCCCATGCACCGCAGACGCCTGTCAAGCAGCGTCGTGGCAGAGGCAGCATGAGTTCTCCGTCATCTCCGAGCAAGAAGAGAGCACGCAGTCGAGACGGCAAGGATCCTGGTCGCGTTCGAAAGTCACCGAAGCGCAAGGCGGGTAGCAACGCAGGTAGCACGTCGTCGTCTTCTGACTCGAAGTCGTCCCCATACAGTGACAGCAGTGGTGAAGGAGGTTGCCCTCTCCTTGAGAAGGGAGCCTAAATTGGCAGGTTATTACTGGGAAGTTCATTGGTGCTCATGCTACACGACACATTTGACATAAACATGATGTCTTTCTTCTATGTTGTACTGTACTGTACAAATCATTTCTCTGTATTCTGTTTTCATCCAATTCTTGTCTTTTTTTTTTCGGTTGAGAATCATATCTTTCTTCTCATCACCATCAAACATACATGTATTGCTTGATTTGACTTGACGTTGACTAATTTTGAAAAAAAAAAAGAAAAGAAAAAAAAAGAAAGAAGGCAAAGCCTTGGCATTTATTGATTAGTTAATTAATGACATACAATATTCTCATATTCAAGCTCATGAATTCAGATGAAAGGGACAAACATAATCTAACCTAACCTAGGTAAGATATATATTGACATGACATGACATGACATGGGATGAAGGAAACAAATAGACTAATTAAATATCCATACACCATCATCAATGTCTCGTTTATATAAAATAGTTGCCGTGCTGGCTGGCTTTGGTGGCTTTCTTCGAATGGATCTTCATTAACTGCTTGGACTGATTCAATCATTCAATCATTAGATCATTCAAAAAAAAAGGAAAACAAAAGTTCCTCCTTCAACTAACTAAATCCACCTACCTCCCTTCCACTTCTCCTCCTCCTCTTCCTCCTCTATATATTTTTATGGTATTTATTCCTTTGGATGAATCAAGAAGGTAAAGCGAGTGAGCTAACTAGCTAACTAGCTAGTTAATACTTAGTTAGCTACCTGCCTCAGTTATCTGCCCTCGGTGAAGGCCGTATTCTGAGAAACATATCTCCGGGGTTGTATTTGACCTGAGGAGTAGCAGCAGCAGCAGCAACAACAACGCTTCCGCCGTTTTCTGCATGCTGCTCCTGCTGCTGCTGCTCCTCGCTACTACCACCATTAGGCGTCGTTTCCGCCTTAACAGCCATCTCTGCCGCAGCAGTCGTCTTCCTCCACTCCTCAAGGATAACGTCCAGCTCAACGTTGGCATCCTGGCAGATAGCGTCCATCTTGATATCGTTGCGGTCGTAGCCAAAGGGGTCTTCGAGCTGCGAGCCGATGCCCTCGATGCCGTAGAGGGTGAAGATGACGAGCGTGACGATGGGGACGGCCCACCAGCCGAGCTCGTCGACCATGGCGAAGGGGAGCACGCAGCCGAAGAGCGCGAGGACTTGTTTTTGGTGGATTCTGCGGCAATTAGCAGGCATGTACAGTACATGTACAGTACATGTATGTACATGTATGTACTGTAGGTAGACTGGTGCTATATGTAAGGACTTACAAATGAGCCACCGGAATCGGAGTCAGTTTGATAGTCTCCATCTTGCCAAAGGCGTCCGTCAGCGTGTTCAGCTGCGCCTGCATCTGGCTGGCGCCCGGAGCGTGGAACCAGCCGCGCTCGACGCCGCGCTTGATGAAGCTGTCGACGAAGAAAGTCAGCTGGAAAGGCAGCGCCAGGCCGTCGTCCTCATGGCCCTGGAGACCGACGGGCAGCAAGCTGGCATAGACGGGGTTGAAGACAGAGGCGCCGTCCTCGCCGATCTCGTGGCCGGCGGACCCCAACGCCCAGGCGGCGCCCCATTCGGCGCGCAGGTGGTTCTTGACGGCGTAGGGCAGCGCCATCAGGAACTTGACGGTGCGCTCGACGTCTTGCTTCTCGTCCGCCGTCAACGGCCGCGCCGTCGTGTAGCTGTTGGTCAGAATCGTGCGGACGAGATTGCGGATGCACGTGTTGATTGTCTGGATGCCGTTGCGCCCGTCCCAGAAGCGGTTGTACGAGGTCTGGTTCCGGAAGACGAGCATCAGACCGACGACGATGGAGAGGGAGGGTATCTATTTAGAACTGTTAGTAAACAACGAAGTAAATAAATCCTCCGGAAGGAGCATACTCACTATCGTCGAAGGCAACCCAACACTCTCAAACACATACTTGTCCAGCCAGACCACAAACGCAGTGAAAATCGCATGCCAGATGACGGGCACGATGATGGCGCCGTGCACGGCACCCTTGATGAAGCGAAAGACCAGGGGCCATCGTCGAGGCTTCCTCCGACTCGTCAGCAGCGAAGGATGCGTGCCGGTCCGGTGGTGATGTCTGCCGTCGTCCAGTCCCGGTCTTGGAGTGCTGGCAGTTGGGGTTGTGGGTTCGCTGATGAACCGCATTGCTGAGTGGTATCAGTAAACAGTACTCTGTCTGCCAGTAGTGATGGCCCCGCCAAATGAGGTGGTTGTTTGCAAACTATATATATACAGAATATATCGAACTCAATTGATCACCACTGCTGAACACTACTGAAGTAAAAAGAAGACAAAAACAAAAACCAAAAACTGGAACACGCTGCCTTGGACTACAGACTACAGATCCATCGCATGTAGTTACGCGGGTCAAGATGAAACTAAATTAGCTTCGTCCGGTGGGGGAGAGGGAGATCTGATCGTCCAGTAACTTCGATTGCTCTCCGCACGTCGATCGATGGTACAGTAAATTAAATTTAAATCAACTTGGGGGGAATATTAATTTTATTTGAATGTGATCAGCCAACCAACTCTCAGAATGGCAGAGCGTGCGGAGATGCCAAACAAATAAAAAATACCTTCTGGCAGGATCCGACGTTGAAGTCTAATAAGGTTGTTATCAACAATCACAGCCCTGGTCCATTAAATAAATGTACAGTACAGTACAAAGGTACAGTAATACAGACAGACAGACAGTACATACAAGAAGAACCCCTTCCTGGATCTTTTGAAATCTCACAAATCCCTATCCCAAAAAAAAAAAGTAAAGTTCGAAAAACAACCTTCCCTCTGTACTTTGTTTGTCTCGAAGAATGCAAGCCAAAGGTCAAGTGTCGACAAGTGTCGACTCGACGATGCAAGGGCCGTGTCTTGTAGCAAAGCAGGGTGATGTATAGAATTGTGAAAAGGGACGAAGAAAAAGAATTGTTGGATCGCTATTAAATAAACCATTGTGTAAAACGCGGCAGGTGGAAAAAAAAAGAAACCTCGAAATGCAGCCATTTGTTCAAACCTGATACGCCGGAATAACATGTAATCGCCCAAGAACAGATGTCCCCGGCGTATACGCCAGGATTGGGAATGCACAACACAACACAGCAAATGACATGATATTCTCATAAACGTCCAGCCCGGCCATCAAAGGCCAGCGGCCCGCTGTCGTTCCTAGGTGTCATCGGGTTGTCTTCAAAGGTCTCAGCACTGCCAGGAGTGTCGGAGCGGCGTTGCGACTGGCCGTGTCGGGACGCACCTGACGGCGTTTCGGTCGGTGATAATCGAGCCGGAATTGGGATATTGGCACTTCGGCCGTTAGGCTCGTCTTGCGTGGTACCCGCGCTGTCCGGATTTTCCGCTTGCTGCCCGGATGTTCCTCTCTCTTCCAGCCGCATGTTCTCGGTGACGGCAGCCAGTTCTGCGTCTGATGAATGTGATGCACCGTTCGCCTGCGGACACTGCGATCCCCGAGTCTCTTCATTCTCCGGATTGTTCTGCGTCCCGGAAGGAAGCTCACGACGTGTTGCCCGCCTCTCATTATCGGAATCGTCCGAGTCGTCCACTTCGGCACTCAGATCGGTCCAAGCACGACAGTTGGGGCACTGAAACATGGGGTAATCTGGGGTGTGAAGCAACCGGCGAATACACTTGTAATGCCACACGTGGGCACACGCCGCCATGAACAGACACTGATACGGTCTCTGTGCAGAGAGAGCGGCATTAGCAACGCCTTCTATCACCGTGGTAGAACGTCGATCAACCCACCAGAACCGACCCCAAACAAATGGAACACTCTCGACAACCCGAAAAATCGTCAGCAGCATCGCCCTTGCCCAGGTTCTTGATCAAGGTTTCCGTGTTTTTGCTAGAGGCCTGTCAGTCATGACCTGCAAAGACCAAGGGGAAGACGGACTTGAACTCGTTTGGTCTCTGTTGCCAGCAACGGTTACACTCGATCCGTATCCGGACGCATCGAAAGATCATCTCCTCTCCGCCGCGGAAATCGATACCCAGCTGGACGATATCGCCGTCTCGAACCGCATACAGCCGGGACTCCATGTTGGGCTGACTCAGGCGCATTCGGTTCAAGAAGGTCCCCGACGAGCTCCCTACATCTTTGATATACCACTGTCCGTTGGAGTAGGAAAACTCGCAGTGTTTCCGGCTGACCACCTTCGACTTGAATCCGATGGGGGCGTCTGACGGCTCAGTTGGGTTGGCGACCGGCACACCATCTCGCTCGGAGTATCGTCCTACACGGATGACCGAGTTCTCGGATGGGAGGGTGCGGGACATGGGCGAGAAAGGCAACGACGGCCTGCCAGGGTTATGGGGGTCTTGGTAGGCGAAAAACCGGATCGTGGCCTCCTGTTTCGGTCTGGGGGCTGCGGAAGAGTTCTCCGGCGCTGCTGGGCGATCGGGGGCATTTTGGGGGGTTGCACTGGACTGGCCATTTGTCGAACCTGGACTGACTGAGGCGGAGGCGTCGCCCGCAGCAGAGGCCATATTCTGTACCCCGTTTCCTACTTGCTGGCTCTGCGGCTCATGCGACGGGGTGGAGGATTGCGAAGACTCGGACGACGGTGGGTGAGCACGAGCACTTTCTGCGGCTGTCGGCGACTGGGGAGTAGCAGACTCGGAGGAAGCACTGGTCGAGAGCAATGGCGAGGAGAGGCCGACAACGCGAGACAGGCTGTTTCGATAGCTTCGCGGGTTGGCAGAGGAGGACGACGAGGAAGCAGACGAGGAAGAATGCGGGGTGAGATAGCTCTGGGTGTAGGCGCGCAGCTGGCTGAGTCGGCGGAGGCGACCCGCACGAGCGGTCGGCTGGGCATCCGATGCGAGGTTCGGCGGCGAGGCAGCGGAAGCAGACATGGACGAACAACGGGCAAAATTCGGCGGACTCGAGTCGAAACACGATGTCTTTGCCGCCTATGCTACCCAGACGACGGTCGTATCGTATGTTCGCAGAGAGACAGAACCCGAACCGGCGGGTGACTGGGCGGCACGAGACGAGGATGTACAGTACAGGATACGGACTGAGCGAAGGTACACGATTTCAGACGACCATGGCGAGCACCAGCACGGTGCCGTCCAGCATGACCATGTCTCTTGTCCCACAGAACTCTACAGGAGCAACAGGCGAAGGCAGACCCTGGGCCTGGGGCGATAGTTATAGCGAGCTACTAGAGAAAGGCACTATTAACACCTTGGAGGGCGGCCCCACAGGCCGGTCACCGTCGCCTCATGGACAGCAACCTGGGGAGCGGAATTTGCAGCTAACGAATAGCTCAAGGCGGAGCTGTTAGACGGTAGACCTACGTACCTAGGACCGAGTCCTTACTGCGTAATTGCTCACTCAAGGGCATTTTGCCGGGTGGATGGTCTCTCTATCGCGGCCGGTAATCCAGCACACGAGAGGACAACCTGCTCATGTGAACCAGGCGGGGTGCTGGGGTGGCAAGACAGTCAATCAACTGATCACCGTCAGTGCGTATGGCTGGGTTGCCTCGCCGATCATCCTTCGTCTGCCGTCCATATTGAAATACGAATACTTCTACTGAAGGCCTTGGGGATTGGCGAACAGATGCTGACCACCTCCATGTCTACTGTGAGCCTCCGGATAGGCACGTGAGATGCAAGAACCGTTCTAGATCGGAGATCGGACTGGATGATCTCTTCAGGGCAGAGACACCTCCTTCTCAGTATGATCTGCCCTCATCATCAAGCCTACGGAGTAAGCAGATATGACATACAACTAGCAAGCCGGGAATTTTGACCGGTTCTCGGTCGATAAACCTTGCTCTCGGCATTCCTGAGGCATGTCGGGTCCACAAAGGTTATTATTCCTTCCACCAGTCGATTGACCCGGTGACTGTGAGACTGCAAAGAGTCCATTCAACGGTTTTGAGTCTTTGACCTGGTTGGAAGGGCCTGATGGTCGACAGGTGGGGATGGCCTAGTGCTATCTCTGATGCTATCTGAACAGATCAGCAGCCTTGCAAAGGCTCAGATACGAAGGCAAGAATGGGAGGAGATATACTTCTGTCATCCTCTGTAGACGTCTGTAGAGGCTAGAGCACAGTAGCGGCCACTAACAAAGTCCTGCATCATTATTGCTTGCTGTCGCTGAAGAAGAGGCTCTAGTGGCTCACTTAGCTAAGACATGATGCCGTTGCCGGGCAAGAGTAAACACAGTGCGTTGCGCAGCTGCCGGATGCTGAGGCAGCTTGCCCAAAAAGTCATTGCACGGTCGAGGAGCAGCAGTCGGGCAGCCTGTATTGCCGATCGACTATCTATCGATCGATTATCGTCGATAATAGCGTGGAATGCGTAGGGTGATCGAGGAGCTGGGGCCGTTGAGCGGGCCGCGAAGACTTCACTGGAGGCTGGTCACTTCACTGGTTGCAGCGAGCTAGTCGACCACCACCGCTGAATCACAAGAACATCCTCCGCCTCCTCCACCATGACGACCTCCATCGTCGTCTCCCCCTACTAAATAAACGTCTTCCACGCCCCTCCAGCCCTGTCGCTGAATCCCTCTCCTTCCTGTTCGAATCACGCGGCGGCGCCTCTGTCCTACGAGCCGTCTCCTACATGCGTCCCGCCCGTCGTTCGTCCTCCGTCTGCTCGGAACCCGCTCGCCTCGTCCTCGCCTCTGTCCCGCTGCTGCTCCGTCGACAGACATAGCCCTCTGCCATCAAGCATTGTGTTGCAGCCCTTTCATTCACTCCTTTCCCTCCCCAGATCGGTCGTGTTGCGCGTTTTCTCGTCGGGTCCTGCGGGACTGCGTCCAGCCACGACATGACTGAGATCGGGAACGCATGTCTGGCCTGTCTGTCGGCTGTCGACCGCTGGTGCCATATCAGCGATTGTTTGGCACCCTTCAGAGGCCGTTCAAGGGAAGGCATCTATGAGACGACCTTGGCCGATAGTGAGCGGGAGGCTGTAGCAGACCTGCTTCAATACCTCGAGAACGTACGATTCCTGCCTCTTCCCTTCTGGTTGCTGTCTATGAAGCCTGGTGACTAAGGATGATCTCTTCTCTACAGCGTGCCGAAACCGATTTCTTCTCCGGGGAGCCTCTTCGAGCGCTGAGCACGCTCGTCTACTCCGACAATGTCGATCTACAACGGAGCGCCAGCTTGACCTTTGCAGAGATCACAGAACGAGGTCGGTAGCAAGGGCATGCCAGCCGCCTTCTCTGGTGCTAATCCATGCCTCCAGATGTGCGAGAAGTGGGCCGAGAAACCCTCGAACCCATCCTGTCTTTGCTTCAGAGCCCGGATATCGAGGTGCAGCGGGCAGCCAGTGCTGCCCTAGGGAACCTTGCCGTCAACTGTACGTCGTCCATCACCTCAACCATATACAACGGCTGACGAGGAGCAGCGGAGAACAAGGTCCTGATTGTAGCCCTCGGTGGTCTCACCCCGCTGATCCGACAGATGATGTCCCCCAACGTCGAGGTGCAGTGCAATGCCGTCGGCTGCATTACGAACTTGGCAACACACGAAGACAACAAGTCCAAGATTGCCCGGTCGGGTGCTCTGGGCCCGTTGACACGGCTCGCAAAGTCCAAGGATATGCGTGTCCAACGTAACGCAACGGGGGCTCTCTTGAACATGACTCACTCTGGTACGCCAGGCTCCTGCCGTATCCCCCCCCCCC